GCCGCGTCTCTCTCCAGCCGAGTGATTGTTGGATCCTAACTGCTAACCTGTGATTAGCCGCCCAATCCCTAACCTACAAATGACTACAGGGCTCCTGAATATATCTCTGGCAGAGGTCACAATAGTATGCCGTAGAGTCGCTTCTGACTCACAGTGACCATGTATAGGTTTTCCAAGGCAGTAAATCTTTACAGAAACAGAATGCCTCATCTTTCTCCCACAGAGTGACAGGTAGATTTGAACTGTTGACCCTGACGTTAGCTGCCCAATACGTAACCACTACACTACCAGGGTTCCTTTAATATATTTCCTGAAAGTCTTGGTGTGGAACTGTAGGACAAGCACTGGACCTCAAGGTTGGTTCAAACCACAGGGTTGATGGTTCAAACCCACTCGTCACTCCTTGGAGACCTTGTACAGGTTCACTGTGAGTCAAGATCAATTCAACAGCACTTAACAACAAGAGAACATTAAAATAATCTGATCATGAGGAATCCTTCACATTTAAAAGTTATAAATTTCACATTTCAGGGAGTAAGCCAAACTGAAAAACAAACCCAGTGTCATCAGATAGATTCATAGCACCCTATAGAACTGTCCCCTAGAGTTTCCAAGGCTGGTAACATCAGACAGATTCATAGCACCCCTATAGAACTGTTCCCTAGGGTTTCCAAGGCTGGTAACCTTTACGAAAACAGATCACCTCATTCTTCTCCCAAAAAGCAGCTGATGAGTTTGAACTAGTTCAGTTTCTCCCTGTCATGTACAAATTTTCACGGCCCTACACTTAACCTGTGGTACCACCAGGCCTCCTTAGGGAATCAAGATTAGTTATAATGACTGGACCACCATGCAATATCATGATAAACAGAGAAAATATCAAAGTCGCCAAGGATTTCGTTTTACTTGGACCCACAAGCAACAACTATGGAAGCAGCAGGAAAAAACAATAAATCACATATTGCATTGGGCAAATCTACTCTAAAAGATCTCTTTAAAGTATTAAAGAGAAAAGATTCACTTTGCAGACTGTGGTGCATCTGAACCAAGCCATTGTGTTTTAATTTGCCTCATGCCTGCAAAAGTTAGACAACAAATAAGGAAAACTTTAGAACAATTGTTGACTTTGAATTATGGTGGTGGTGAAGAATATTCCATACACCTTGGATTGCCAGAATGAACACATCTGTCTTAGAAGTACAGCCAGAATGCTCTTTACAAACAAAGATGCTGAGAATTCATCTCATGAACTCTGGGCGTATTATCCCGAGAGACTAATATCTGGAGAAGGACTTGTTATTGTTAAGTGCCGTCAAGTCAGTTCCAACTCACAGTTAGTCTGTCTAAGGTTCTGAGGAGCCACTGGTGGTTTGAACCCCTTACCTTGCTGTTCAAACCAACCTTGTAATCTAGGATTTGCCCTACAGCGCCATTCCAGAGCACTTATGCTTGGTAAAATAGAGCTTCAGTGAAACAGAGGAAGACCCTCAATGAGATGGAATGACACAGTGGTTACAATGAACTCAAATACTGCCACCAATGTGAAGATGGCGCAGGATTGTCAGGGTTTCATTCCATTGTACAGAGGGTGGCATTTAGCAACACCATAATTAAATAGCCCTGACTAATCTGATACATTGGATTAAGCTAGTTTCACAATTCCTCCCTCTTGGGTACCATTGTTTTTGAACTTCAGAATATATTTGGTTATTTATGATGTATGGTTCATCATTTTCCTCTTAAATATCTGAACATTAAAAATAGCAACACACATAATAAAACTCTTACAGACTTGGGTTTATCTTTTTGTTTATTGTATCATTTGTTTTACTAAAATTTGTGTTTTAAAAAATCTTTGTTACCATATTTTTTGAAACCATGGGCCCGAAGGACCGTTCTTATAACAATAATATGATTTCACATACTTACAGTACCAACAATATCCAAACTGGTCCATCTACCAACATTTTCTTATGGCACAGAAGACAGAAGAGAACCAAAGTCACAAAATAGTAAATTTAAAAGCTTTGGCCAAAATCTGGGTCTCTCACAACCAGTCCGCTGGTGTTTCCCTCCCATCATGCATTCCAATATATGTAATCCCAACCTTACAACATCATCGAATTATCACTTTGAACATCTGGGTTTCTTTCTGGTTTGTTGGTTTTGGGCTTGCATAGCATGCATATAAATGAAGAAGCAGAAAGCACCAACATTGAAGCTGTAAGTTTATGCGTAATGTTTCCAGCCCCCAAAGACAATTAAAGGTTGAATTTAGAAACATACTCATAATGAAACCCAATAATAATGAAAGAAGTATTCAGCTTACATCAGAACTAACTTATGATGAAGCCATTGGAACAAAATCTCATCCTAAATTAGGGACTGTCTATATTGAGTAGGAAGATAGAGTTGTGTTATGTATATTATTTTACAAATCAGTTTTGTAAGGTACTCATTCAAATTTCTCAGTGTTCTTACTGATTTCCAGGCACTTATATTCTTAGCCACGTATTCTGTTACAGAAATTTAGGTAAACTAAAGAAAAGGAAAGAAACTTCTGAACTTCATTCTGCTGTACTTTTCAAGGTAGTTCAATAGTTAATGTGTTGAATAAGACTTTAGTTTTTTTTTAACTCTTATTATAGAAAATCATACTGAAATTAAGATTTTCAATTCACTTTTTAAGTTCTATTTTTAATTTATGGAAAAGAGAGAAAATAGAATATATCGATGATGTAAGGACAAAGAAACTTTACTTATTCTTCTTGTCTTTGTAATTTGCAGGTCTTTGTTTCTGTTCCTTTCGTTGTCGGTACATATATAC